CCAGGACAGGCTGTTCTTTACAGGACAATGCACTGGACTTCATTAGGTGCAGCACACACCATGTCTCAGTAATGGGCCCAGTGGAGTGAAAGGCAGCTGAAAACAGGCCTGCAGAGCAGCAAACCTCAGCCTCTAAGCCTGATAACATCAGAGGAAAGGCTGAGAAATGCTGGCAAGAGGTGGCAAAATACTGGGGTGCTGGTCAGGCTGGGCAGCAAACAGCCTCCTGTGCAGTCAAGTGTTTCCCTCAGCCACCCTGGAACTGCAGGAGGTAGAACTGCAGTGAGAGAAGGAACTCCTGGGAAGCAAAACTGAGGGGTCCCTGCCAGCCTTTCCTGGCTGTAGCCTCGTTTCTGCTGGAGAAGTCTGATCCAGCCCAGGTTCGAGCTTTGCACTGAGATCCAAGTGTGAAGTGCAGTCTTACAGACCAACCCATGCCCCCAGCTGTGGGGCCAAATCCCGGGCTCACCACCTGCACACCTCTCCATGTTCCCCCCTCCTGGCAGGCCATGGGACACCCACCCACCCCTTCAACCAGCAGCACAAGCTGCTTCTCCCCACCCTCTGTGGGATGTGGTGATGAGGACGGTTCAGAAGGTGCCCCCCAGGCTTTGGGGCTCAGAGCACAGCGGTGGGTACATGTGACTGGATCGTTCTCATGCCAATGCAAATGCAACACAGCAGGAAGGGCACGACACCAGGAATGCCGCTGGGATTGGGTCTGGCAGCTCCTGTGAACGCCACAAGGTACACACTTGCAAAACAGGGTTTGGCAGATGATGCTAGGCACACATCTGTCACAAAGCCTGGCTCAAGGGAAGGATTTTTGGGTGGCAGACAGATGCTGAAGGCTATCATGAGGCTGAGGACACTTATCCACACAAAGGACTCTTATCCACACAAAGGACAACCAGGCAGGACACAGCAAATTGGTTTTGGAGAACCAGATGTCAAGAGTGCCATGGACTGAAGTGTTCAGCAATAACCTGTCCCCTTCCTGACAAAACAACCTGCGGGAGCCCAAATTCACCTGAAGTCCCCAGTGGGACCCTTTCAAAGGATCTGAGCACATTCCACCCGTGGCTGTCTCTGACAAGCCCAGCCAGGGACTATAATAAGCTGAGCAAATCCAAAGTACAGCCCAGGGAACAAAGCCCAGCTCTCCTGGCCCAGAGCCGCCCCCCCACTGACCAGAAGCAGAGGGCCAGGAACAGACATTTCAGACACAAGGTGGTGTTTTTACTGCTACCAAACACCAATAAACATGGTGTTCATACAGGGCAGATGCTCCATCAGCAGACAGAACTCCAGTAGTGTCCAATTAAAAGGTGATTGGCATCTCTTCCCCAGGGCAGAGTTTGCCTGCTCGTCTCTGAGTGGCACAAAACTTCCTCCTTTTCCACATTCCTGCTCCAGCTCCAGGGGAACAGCCCCCAGCTCCAGCCAGCTCTTCCCCCTGCACACACACAGCAAGGACACACCCCTGTGGCACTGGGGGTCACAGCCAGAGCAGATCTGTTCTGCACCCCCGATTCCTGCCCTCAGGAGTGACTTGCCTTGCTCAAGCCTCCCAAGGGCACTGTTTCTTCCATTCTGTACATGGACAGTATTTCCTGCCCTGTTCTCAACCAACAGCCTTTTGGATCCTCTATTTTCCCTGTGCTGTTCATTGTTCCCCTTTCACTCCAGGTGCACGAGGCAGCCATCCCCCTTTCTGGCACACAGAGAAGTTTCTGGAAAGCGGCAGAGTTGAGGCACCTCAGGACATGCCAGCCCTGAGGAGTGGCTGCCATTCCCACAGCTCCCAAAGCAGAGGAGATGCAGCACCAAAGCTGACTCAGGCACCCACCTGGAGACAACAGCAGAGCTTTAGAGATGCCAGAACTGACACAGGGGGCCACGTTACAATTTCTTTAGGAAACATCCAGGCTACGAGGCTCCTGCCAAAGCATGGCAGACACCAGAATTCGTAAGGAATCAGCATGAATTCAGAGCTAGTGCTGACAAGCTTCCATCACAGGCCATTCCCAGGAGGCATCTCCAGAAGAACCTCCTCAGCACTCCCTGGGCATGTCAGAGGTCAGGATCAGCCCAGCTCTGCAGACTGGCCTCGCCATCAGAGCTTCACCTCCCTTCCTCACAGCATCCAGGGCAAGCCACAGGAGCACAGTGACATATCCATGTCCCAAAATCCACAGGATCCAGGCTGAAGGCGCCTCCTTCCCCCCAACCCAGGAAGGGAAGAGGCGGAGATAAGGCAGGATGGCTCAAATCCCAGCGGGGTGAGAGGAAGGGGTGGGTGCAGCCAGGAATCACCCAGGAACCTCCTGCTAAAAACCCTCAGCACTCACCTGGGAGCTGAGGACAACTGGGGACCCTGAGCTGTGAGGAGATGCAGGACAGCAGCAGGAAGAGGAGACAGAAAAGCAGAGCCACGTGACCCAGATTTCCAAGATTACACAACTCCTGAATAAACAGACATTTCCTTATGGTCTGTGGTGGTTTGTGCACAGATGTTACACAACCAGACAAGGGAATGGTGACCAGGGAGATGTGATCCACGTGACCAGAGAGCTGAAACCACCCTGCTGTCTCAGGGCAGGCTGGGAACAAGAGGGAAGGAGTCCTGAGCCTTGTGATACTCTTCAAAAACTTATAATCTAAAAAAATAAAAAAAAAATTAGTATTTGGAACTGTATCCTGCAAGATTAGACAACTTCTGCTTCCTTAGAAAAGCCAGGCCCAGTGAAGAATTTCATTTCCTATTCTATATGCCTTAATCAAGAACACCTTCTAACCTAACAGACCTTTTTTAAATGAAGGGAAAATTTATATCTTAAAGTGAAAAAAACTACCTTTTGCATACAAATTTCTTCATTGTGCTCACTAATTCAGCATCCAGACCCCTGCAGGTTCAACACCTCCTGCATCATTGATTTGAATGAAACTGTCTCCCACAAAAAGGGTCTGTCCAGAGGGTAAGGACATGGATTATTGTTTGTGAGCATTCAGTGGCCACATGCAGAAACATTCCATCTGCCAGGGATGACATGTCAGGATGTGAGACAGGGAACTTGCCAGTTAATTCCTGATCAACCACTGCTCTGTGGTTTGCTGAGGTGGGAAGGTCACACAGTGTAAACAGCTCTGCCCAGATTGATTTTCTAAGGTGCCTTCTGGCCCCACGCTCTGTAAAACTGTAAAACCACCTCAGCAGACACAAAATGAAACCCAGAGTCAACAAGTGCATTCCCAAGTCAGCAAGCCCAAGTCTCCTCAGTGGAAAAATGACTCAATGTGCCCTTGAAGTGCTGGCCTTTAATACAGGTGTAGCATTACTGATGTTATCTCCCAACAGCACAAATAGCTTTGTCTCACACAGATAAAACTAATGCTGAGGGTAATAAAGTGGATGGCAGTGGTTTATTACAGGCTTCATAAAAGGGAGCCCAACATCCAGCAACAGGTGATTCAGCAGACTCACAGATTCCCAGATTTGACCCTACGTGCCCATTTTCACACAGCTCATTTTCCCTCTCTGGCTGTTCTCCAACATCAGAACCAGACTTAGCCCAGAAAAGGCAACACTTGTACAAGTTCTGAGCGGGCTTCGAGATGTTTTGACAACCTGGACAAGAAGAAAACCACCCCCCAGAACTCCTCGTTCATTTTCCACACGTATGAGATGTGCTGGTTGAAACAATTCACACTGGTTTTTCTGCGTCCAGATCGGCCACACGCTCATTCCCTTCCACCACATGGGAAAGCTTCCCTGATTAACAATCCCAGGAGCACATTTCACTGCTTTCCTTACATAGGTTAAGTGGTTGTTTGTCTCTAATTGCTCCTCAGAAGGTGTCCCTGTGCAGACACAGCGTTTTAAAGTGGCCACTGAGCCATTCCCTGGAGCTGTCACGTTCCAGCTTGTGCCAGGTTGATGTCATGTCCTTATGGGAATACACTGGGATTTCCAGCATGCCAGGGTCACCTTTTGGATGCAGCCTTCGACTAAAGACTCAGGAGTTCACAAGATTGACTTCTACAAAAATATTTAAACCTTCTCTGCTTGCAGAGGAGAAGTGGATGCATTTAAGTTCATTTTCCATCGCCATCCATGAATGGCTGCCCAGGGAGGGGGTGGAGTCATCACCCTCCCTGGAGGTGTTTAAGGACAGGCTGGATGTGGCATCAGTGCCATGGTCTGGGTGACAAGGTGGGGTTGGGTCAAAGCTTGATCTCAGGGGTCTTTTCCAACCTGGTTGATTCTGGGATTCTGTCCCTCATCACAAAACCTTGTTCTGCCACAGCCAAGAAGCAAATTCTTTTGTGCTTCCAAACACTTGTTGTTTTGAGAAGCCCGAAGCTGCTTCTGGGCAAAAATGCAAGGTAGAACTGGGGCCACCAGCAGCAAAAATTCATTCCACTGGGTTTTTAATTAAGCCCAGGAAGCTGATCTCTGTTGTGGCAGATGGTTAAGACCAAACTAAACATCACCAGAGGCACCTTCCTGCTCTTGCCCCGTGATCCTGGCAAAGAGCAAGAGGATGGAACACGACATATAAACAGCTTCTAGGTAGAAACACAAATACTTGCAAGGGAGCACAAATCCATAGCCCCAGTCCATGGAACAGAGCAGCTCCACATTCCCCTTTGGGAAAAGCAACTGAATTACTGAAAATATTATTGAATATAGAATCACTGAAAATACAATCTCCAAGGCAGAAGATCTGGGATATCAAAAAGAGGAAAGGAGCAATCAAATCAAGCCGTTTTCTGGGAAGGAGTTTGTCTGTGGACACTCTTCTGCCAGGACCACCTCTAGGGCGTGGAAAGCTGGAACAAAGAGCCATCAGCAATGTTCTTACAGGTGACAAAAAACCACTGTGGGGAAAAAGCTTCGAATGCTGCCTTTTCCATCAAGCTCTCAAACCCCTGGGCTGCCACAGAGCTGCTAATCCAAAGCAGAAATGATTCAGAGCTAAAAAATGCTCAGTACTTACTATTCCAGAGAGGGGTTTTCCATCTACTGACTCCAGGAGAACAGTCTTTTCCAGGCAGACGAGGAGCCTGACAGAGCAAAGTTTCTCAACCCTCAGATAATGCTGACAGCACAACCATGCTTATCTGTATCAAAGGCTAATCATTAACTCCTGCTTGGATTGGGCTGGGACCAGAACAAGCACTGGGATGCTCACACGGAAATCCATGGAACAGCAGAAGCAACCCCTGAGTCTCCCTCACGAGACCTCTGCAAAAATGCAGATATTTTAGAAGACCCTGACCAGGTTAAATGTGCTGCAGTGATTACTTTCCAAGACATTCACCAAAACACATTTCAAACACGAATTTCTCTGCCAGAGAAATTAGTGGTTTGCTTGCCTTCGGATATTTTGACAAGGCAAGCTTAGCTGATTTTAGTATTAGTATTGAAGTATTTAGTCTACAAACAGAGAGAGAGCAGGTGTAGATGAGCTATTAGGAAGAAATTGTTCCCTGTGAGGGTGGGGCACAGGTTGCCCAGAGAAGCTGTGGCTGCCCCATCCCTGGAAGTGTCCAAGGCCAGGTTGGACAGGGCTTGGAGCAACCCAGGCTGGTGGAAGATGTCCCTGCTCGTGACAGGGGGTGGGACTGGATGAGCTTTAAGGTCCTTTCCAACCCAAACTAGTTTGGGATTCTATTTTATCCACCCCCACAAAGAAGAAATGTGACATTTTCAAAGCTATTGGCCTGTTTTTAGGAGCTTTAGATCCTAAATTGGGCAGAGAGTCTTCAGCACTGTGTACAAGAAAAACGCTGTCGGGGTCTCCAGCTCTGCTACCTCTCTGCTTGGAAAGCTGGAGTGAACAATTCCTATGGAAAAAAAACGTGACAAAGGAGAAAGAGGGCAAGAACAGCTGAGCTGTGCCTGCAGCACAAGGGGCCTCGTGGGAGGGGCTGTGATTTCAAAGGAGATTAAAAGCAAGAGTTACACAGAAAGGGATCAACTGACAAGCAGTGCCCACGATCCTGCCGGGATGTCCTGGAGGGTTTCACTGGAGGAATTCAGAAAATTAAGGGGAGTTATGCTGCTGCCAAAAGGGTTTTTTAACTACTGGGTCTTATCAAAGAAGCAAAACAGTCAAGATAAAGTGTATTAGGCTCCACCATCCATACAGCAGGTCATCCTACATCTGTGTGAAAAGAGCAGCACAAAAATGGCTTTACAAGAACAGCCAAGGCTGCAGCAGGAACGTGAGGGCAGCTGTGAAGTTTCAGAACTGTCTTTCTTTTCAGTTGTTCAGGTTTCAGTCTGACAGTACCTGTAACACACCCCTCCATACTTCAGTCTGACCTCACACCACCTTACCCATTCAAGTTCAGCACGTCCTCATGAGATAATGCCTTATCTCAAGTTAATGAAGGGCATCAAAGCCAGTGGTAACTTGATTTGAGTTAAACCTCTCCTGGCAGAGGAGCCAGGGATCCTGACTCAGTGTCTTGCCTCAGCCACCAGACCAGGAGCTCAGACAAACACTGAGTTGCGTTGCACTTCCATGGTATCCCGAGGCTGGGTGTGTTTCTCAGGAGCTTGTGCTTCCCCTTCCCTTATCACTTTGATGTCCCAGGGTTGATTTACCCACTGGAAGTGCACGGGGTACTCGCTGCCCTCCCACGGAGCCACATGACAGCAGCGCTGTGGGATGTCCACCCCACTTCCCGAGGGATGGGCACAGTGACCTGGCATGGCCTGGCTGCTGGGAGCACAGCTTTGACTCTGCTCCACATTTCCTGGTGTTTCTCCTTCCCAAGTAAAACAGGCAAGGTTGAAAATGCAGCCAAGCTGTGCCAGGGAGCTGCTGGGCCTCTTTAGCACAACACCTTTGGAGCAGGAAATGTTCACAGAATATCAGAATGTGCTGAGCTGGAAGGGACCCACGAGGATCACCGAGCCCAACCCTCAGCCCTGCACAGGCCCATCCCCAAGGGTCACACCCTGTGCCCTAGAGGATCCTACTGGAATCCCTGGCTCCACATGGAGGAACCTAGCCAGGAGCTGCTCCAGAGCACAGGCAGGGAAGGAAATCAGCCAAGGAGCAAGCTGGGTCACAGAGAGCACGTCCCTAAGGAGGCTGGAGCCATGTGCCTCCCAAACAGCTGCTTTTCCACGCTCCCAGGAGCAGGCCAGCCCATCAGCTCACAGCAGCAGCTCAGCAAACACACTGCACCTTGGAGGTGGCCTCCAAGTACTTCTTAATCCTACAAAGCCAAGGCAAATTAAATTATCCCTAACATGAAAAAAAAAAAAAAAAGCCTGAAAGTGTATTTACCACAGGCACTCTTTCCCCCAACAGATGCAGTAAGTGCTTAGAAAAGAAAAACAGTCAAGCCTGTCAGGGTTTCTCTTCCCCACTTTAGCCAAAAGATCAGCTAAATATATCCCAAAGCTCGTACTGCAAGCTGATGTACCTTCATTAGAGGCAGGAGATTGAATCCATGATAACTAATGAGCATGTGTGGGCAGAGAAGGTTTGTGAATGTGGAGTGGCTCCCAGGAAGTCTCAGGAGAGCTTTGGGCACTCGCTGATAGTTCCATGCCAGAACACCTGGATTCTGTTCCCAGTTTGCTCCCAGTTTCTCAGGCCTGGTACCAGGAATTGCTGAGCACCCAGTGAGAACAGAGATGCTCAATCACCCACAGCAGTCTGACCTCTGCTCCAGAGCTACGGTGGCCTGCTCTATTAATTTTGATAAATATTAGATTATATATTAGATTATATTCTTATATAACTTTTGAAACAGATGATAAATGACTTTCACATCTGAGATACAACAATTGTGGGATTTTCTAATATTATATATCTGGAAAAGGAAAGAGCAAAAAGTTCTGGCTGCAATCACAGTTGTTCAAGTGCCACTGGAAATCAACTGGACCCTTGCAGACACAAACTGGTGACACAGAGAAGAAAAGATACTGGGAAGATGACATCAAAAACTGTAGAAACAAAACAAGGAGGACAAAACAGAGCCTCATCACAGCCTCCAACTCCTAGATTGGCTTCTGAACCAGGAAAGTCTAATTCCAGGACCAACAAATGAAAGACTTTAGAAAGTGCAGCAGAATAGGAGTTTAATTTGTTTACAATAACTAGTGCCATTATTCTCTGCATTAGCAGATTCCAGCTTTCAGCTGGGAAAAAAAAAAAAAAAGGTTAATGAAAAAATCATTGGTCCCATGTCCCCTGGGACCTAATTGGGAACATTTCCAGAAAATTAGATTGAAACAAAAGGCAATGGAGTAGATTAACTAAGATTGGATTTCCCTGAGGAAAACAACATAAACTAGATTGAGTCTTTTTCATCCTCCCCTTTAAAAAACCTGCCAGGGCTCCCAGTGATTTCCTGGCAGGCTCCTGGAGAAGTTCACGCTGGCAAAGTGCTTCAGCTCAGCTTCACAGAATTGTGCTGCAGGCTCCTGACAGCTTTGGGGTGACCTTCAGCCCAGGGCAGAGGAGCAGACAGGTCTGCAGAGCAGTCTCCTCTTGGACAGAGGGGGCTTCACAGCGAACAAACCAAATAGCAGAGGAGAAAATATCACATTTTAGTTCAAAGAACAAAAAGTTCTGTCTTCTCTCGGCCCTAATGCCTGCTTGGAAAACAAACCAGCTGAAGGGAAGCTCCTCAGGGCCCTGCTCAAAACTCACCCTGTGAACAAGGCAGATCTTGTCTCTGTTTGTCATATAAAACTGGAAAAGAACATTCTCAACACCCTCCCTTGTCAGGCATTAAGCTTTTGTTCAGGGAAAGACTGTCTCACTAATGCAAAACTTGAAGCTACACTGCAAAGGGATAAGGGAGAGAAAAATCCTCCCAAACCTCTTTCCCAAAAACAAAAAACCCCACAAGCCTTGTCCTTGTACCACTCTGAGTCACTGGCAGGGACGATACCTTTAAAATAAAAATGCAAACATGCCAAAGTAACTTCATTTGATTTAATTCCTCCTCTCTGCTGGCAGAAATTATTCTAATTCCCAGCCTAATTAACAAGCTGCTGTAGATTAGAAATCTGATATGAAATGAAAAGCAAGCAGCAAATCTCAGTAGGGAACAGTGGTA